TACGTAACTACGATACAACTACTACGTAGGTAGTACTTACGGTACGACGTAAGTACGTACTATAAGGTAGGGTACCGGTCGTTCGTTATAGTCTCTCCTACCCTCCGTCCTCCGACCGTCCCTCCCTCCTCTCTCTCTCTCTCTCTCTCTCTCTCTAGGGTGGCGCACACCACCCCCCCCTCAAAAAAACAAAAAAGAGCCTAGGGGTGGCACACACCACCTAGGGCATAGAGAGGGCACGCCCAACCTCATCTTGGTTAAGGGGAGGTGCTACACAGTGGCATACACCAAAGGTTTTAACAAGGGTTTAAAGAAACCCTAATTATAGTAGCCCATGCTCTCAGCCCCACAGTTTTTGCGATAGAGTATTCTAGAGGTGCTACAAAATTCTGAGGATTCAACAAGACCTAAGGATCAAGTGCTTCATCAGTTTGGATATCGGGAGTAGGGTGTGCTAAGTCCTAAGTGGTAACCCTAAGCAAACGCTCAGTAACTCTTCCAGTTTTATTTATCAGTTTATTTTTATCTCTTGATTCATACTTGTTTAGAAGTCCTAATCGCATTCACGGTCCTATTTGTATTACGATTATCAAAGAGTTAAAGACCTTGGAATGTAGTAGGTTTGTTTTTCCATTGTATTGTAGCAACTATTAGTAGAAATTCCATTTGTTCATAAAAAGAGAAAAAATATTTAATATATACTTTAGAACTCTACATTGCGACACCTTTCAGTAAAAGAGGATATCCATAAAAGAGAAAAGCTATGTGCTCGAGATAAGACTAAGATACAAAGAAAAAAGTTGGTACTGGTTGCAATGTGATGCACATTTATGTTCTCTAAAAGCATTCTGAGTAGAACGATTAGCAGATGTACTTAACAGCTTGAGAACCTACTTAATAGAGTAGCTGAAATGTCAAAAAATTGATATCAACAACCAAAAAACACATGACGCAAAAGGCACAAAATAAACAATTACATGTTACATACCCGTATCCTCATCAATTGAGTTAGTAATACAGGGTTTGTCGATGTCAGATTTAAGTTCTGTTTCACATAATGCGGGGGTTTGTGGACCTTTGATGTCCATATCCGATGTATCATTGCTAGAGTTGATAGGGACATCAGTCGGTCGTAGAACAGCCTTAAGAGCATCAAGTTTGTATGCTTTTATACAGGTCAAGCCCAGTTCAAGGGCCAAGTTTTTTACATCCTCCACCTAAAAAGAGGGAATTGCCCAAAAAAAAATGCAAATCATGAGAACATTCAACAAGAAAAAGAGGTCCATTTATGAAGAAGAAACAACGTCATTGGTATCGGAGCATAATACAAACCTTTTTGAAATAGAGCAAGGAGACACTAAAAAAGCATTTGCAATCTATATCTTTCTAGTTGAAGAATTCTCATTGGATTAAAATTAGGGATACCATCCTTGATATACATCATCATCAAACATAATCACCTTGTGCTTGGGTGCCAGATGTATACAAGTATCAAAATAACGAATGATATATATATTGTTCACTGATAAACAAACCATGATACAGTTGGAGAATATCGGCAAACAGCTAAGAAATAGTCAGTCCATTTTTTAATTCCTTAATTACTTGGTTTCTAAGTTCTCAGGCCCCATTAAACATGTGCAAATTGCTGTCCGAGAAGAATTTTTCCAGCTTAAGTGTTGTTCATTCAAGAGACAAGATCTGGAAAAGCATTTTTCAGAGATGAACAAAAAATACCACAAAATAGGAGGAATTGATGATATAGCCCCATTAAACATGCGCAAATTGCTATCCGAGAAGAATTTTTCCAGCTTAAGTGTTGTTCATTCAAGAGACAAGATCTGGAAAAGCATTTTTCAGAGAACAAAAGATACCACAAAATAGGAGGAATTGATGATATAAATTTGAAACAATTTTATCTTGAATCTATACCTCCTACTCTTGATAAAGAAGCAACAAAGACAATGGAAAATCAAGGACTTACTATTCAAAACACCAGTTTTGGTGAATTATATCAGTTTGTTCTCCATGCTCTTGAAAGACTTTGCAATCAAGTTGAATTTGTGAAACAAATGGAAAAGAATAAGCATTTACTTGGAAAATCTTGTGATAAACCTTATCTCAAGTTATATGTGATGCTGAAAAACAGTGTTCATGTCCACCTGTCTCGAAAGGAAAAAAGAAGTTTGACCACAAGAGAAAGAAGAAGAAATTCAAAAGATTCAAACATCTTCGACGATCAAGATTTCGAAAACACAAAAAAAGAGATAGATGCTATGTCTGTGGAAAGAAAGGACATTTTGCAAAAGATTGTCCAAACCAGAAAAAGAAAAAAAAGATAATACATCTTTTGTCAAAGGTTTTAGAAGAAGAAATTGATGATGATTTAGAATCTGTGTTTTCTCTTGATGATGAACAAAGCCCAGATCCATTGATATCCATTTCTTATGCTGATAATTTTGAGCTCAATGAGATAAGCAACACTAGTGTTCCAGAGATATTGTCTCCACAGGATGAAATTTCAGACATAAACAGTTTACCCTTTCAGCCTACCCCAATAGCCCTTGTTCAGATACTCCAAGAACACTATTCCAAACCTTTGACCATACCCGCCTTATTTGATACAGGAGCATCAGTTAGTATTTTAAAACCTAATTTGCTACCAAAACAATTTTGGGAAACATGCAACCAAACTTTTCGAGCTGCTAATGGAGAGAAATTTTCCATAACCCAAATTAGCAAACCCATTTTGATTAAACTGTTTCCTAAAGTAGTCATCCAGCATAAACTCTTAGGATCCTATTTACTCAACAAAGACCTTTTACTTGGATTTTGCAGTTTTACATCAAGTAAAACTTCAATGGACCTCCAAAGAATTACATTATAGGAACCTAACCTTTCCCTGGATAGCCTGTATAGATCCTCCCTACACCTTAGATATAGTCAAACAAAAAATTATATCAGACTGTTGTGCCAATTCCCATTCTGAGTTCCTCAAAAAATGTACAAATCCATTATGGAGAAATCAGAATTTTTATGTTAAACTGCCTTTTAAGAAAAATGAAGATATAAATCCCACAAAAGCCTCTGACAGAGGTTTAAATCTTGATTTGTGGGAACAAGCTAAGCTAGAAATACAAGATTTGATAAAGGAACAGTTAATTGAGCCAACCAGTTCTCCTTGGACTTGTGAAGCCTTTTATGTAAATAAGAGAGCTTAACAAATCCGAGGAAAGCTCAGGTTAGTTATCAATTACCAACCATTGAATACCTTCCTTGCAGATGATAAATTTCCATTGCCTAATCAAATTGCACTATTTTCCCAAATATCTCATGCTCACATATTTTCCAAATTTGATTTGAAATCAAGATTTTGGCAAATTGGAATTCATCAAGAAGATCGTCCTAAAACAACGTTTTGTTACCAAATTACCATTTTCAATGGACGGTTATGCCTTTTGGTTTAAAAAATGCACCCACATATTTTCAAAAAGTTTTAACCACCATTTTTGAACCAATCTCAACACAAGTACTGATATATAAAGATGACATACTTCTCTTTTCTCCTGATCTAGAAAGTCATGTTCTCTTATTAGATAAATTCCACTCCCTTTGTTGTAAATGTGTCTTTGCCACTACAGAAATAGATTTTCTTGGTATGCATTTCACAATGGAATGTACAAACTCCAACCTCATATCGCTAAACACTTGTTAGAATTGCCAAATACTTTATCCTTTGTAAAACAAATCCAGCAATTTTTAGGAATTGTAGATTATATATCCCCTTTCATTCCCAAACTCTCTTTGTTCACCAGTCCTCTATACCTTTTGCTGAAGAAAAAGCATCGCCTTGGACAAGAAAACAGACTGAATGTGTTCTAGAGCTCAAGAGATTATCTCAAAATCTACCTTCTTTAAAAATTCCCTCAACAGGAAAAAGAATTTTGCAAACAGATGCTTCTGATGAATTTTGGGCGTGTATTTTACTTGAAGAAAAAGAAAAAGACAGAATGATCTGTGGCTATAAAAGTGGAAAGTTTAAAGATTCTGAACTTCATTACCATTCGACATTCAAAGAAATCCTTGCAGTTAAAAGAGGAATTGAAAAATTCCAATTTCATCTAATAGGACATACTTTCCTTGTTGAAATAGACTTGTCTGCATTTCCAAATATGCTGAAATTCAAGAACAAAATTCTCCCGAATCCTCAACTACTCAGATGGTCAAATTGGTTTTCTCAATGAAATTTTGAATATAAGCACATTTCTGGGAAAAACAGTATTTTTGCACACATGTTTTCAAGAAGAAAATTTTCTGAAGGACTTCTTTTTCCAGTTGTTCCTTTTTTTGGGAGCCATTATCAAAATTGATGATGATTCACAAGATGTTCCTGATGAAATATATGACATCATTATCAGAAAAACAATGGACTCCAGAAATGAGAATATGCAACAAAAAATGCATGAAATAGTAATCACAAATCATAAAGATTGTTTTCAAGGAATTCAATGCCATCCTACGTATCCATTTTTATCCCTCTTTCAAACCAGACATTACTATAATATGCCAAAAGAAGCCATTTATTTTCTCTGGTATCTTACCCAAAACCACCATATATGCTTTAATTTCCATGAAAGGAAATTACTTTCCTATCTCAGACATTGTCATTTCTTACAATGGAACAATTACATTCACCCCAATCCCATAGCATACAACTTCTATAAATTCCTTTTAAAACATTACCATTATAATCAATGGATTGAATCCTTTGGTTATCCTCATCGACCTTATATCATTATAGCTTTCCATCAAGACCTTAATCCTCAGATTTATCCAGAACATACCTTTTTCGCCCTACATCCTCTTATCCAAACCATCGGATGGTATGATTCCAATCTCCTAAATTTTTGGCTATTTCAAACAGATTTGTGGAAAGAATTGAAAATTCTCATGTGCTACATTAACAGAATCCTGCCAGAATGGATTCCTTTGAATGTCTATACAAGAGACACAGTTTGGAATAATGAAACTCCCAAAGGAGCTGCTTTATTGTACCAACTGCACCTTTGGCTTGCTGATCATCCCCCTCCTGCAGAACAATCCACAGACAGTTCCAGTGATGATACATACATTGGACCTACTCATAGCCCGTCTATTCCTTCTTCACCAAGTTATGATTCTGACGGCTATCCTCTCAATTATGACATAGATTGAGCAGAAACACTGTAGCAAAGTCACTGTAGCATCAACACTATTTTGTCGACAGCACTGTTCAGCACTATTTTGTCGACAGCACTGTTCAGCACTATTTTGTCGACAGCACTGTTCAACACTATTTTGTCGGCAGCATTGTTCAGCACTATTTTGTCGGCAGCACTGTTCATACCTGCCACCTGCCACTGTACATGACCTTTTTACTGTTCATAAGGCCACCTGTCCAGGCCACCTGTCTTGTTTTAATTTCGTTTGAAATCTACATTTCAAATCCGAGGTCTACATATAGCCCCGTAAGTCAGTTGTAAAAGGCAGAGCGCTTCTAGAGCCTCTCAGCCTAGCTTCTTTCTTTGGTGTGCTTCTTTCTTCTTCGCTTCTTCTCTGTGCACCTTCTCTGCTTTTGCTTGTAAGTCTTTGTGATCCTTATATTTATAATCCTTCGGTGTGCATGTCTTAGTTTAAATCCTGTTGTTCTCTTCTTCTTCATTTATTGTTATGTGGTCTCTTATGTTTTATGCACATTAACAAACCCAAAAGCTACATGGAAGGAAGGCGGGTACAGTGTTGTCCCACCAAACTGACACAACAAAATAAAAGCCCCTGATCCATCTCCCAGAGAAAACGCTAAGTACATTTTAGAGTCTCCAGATCAATAACTTCTCTAAATTTAAGAGGCAATCTACTTCAATGAGCATTGAATGCTCACTAAACACTGAATAACAATATCCAAGAAAGATGAAAGAGAAAACTAAAGCAATCTGAAATGCCCATGAATATGGTTTTGCAAGAGGCGAAGAATTGAAAGTCAAAATTTACAAACATGGTGAACTTTTTGGTAACTAAATCCACATAAAATTTTACAGTCATAACATTTCAAGAGTCTCAAACATTATATATGTATAGTCTTAAGAAAGTCGAGCATATGTAGATGTGTTTTCCCCATGCTTAGTGGCCGTGCTCTAGAACATGGAATGTCGTGCTTAACTGAGCGCTTCATCATAACGCCCAAAGACAATATATGTAGGGGGTGGTTGGCCGGGTGGGGCGAGAGGGTGTAGTTGGCGGCACAGTGTTTACATAGGGCAACATGAATTTCCATGCATGTAAGAGAGAGATGCCCTCAACCATTTCAATGAAATGTGTTGGATATGGATTAGAGAGAGAGAGAGCGGGAAAGAGAGAATATAGGGCAATGCGAACTTAGCATGAGAGAGAGGCCCAACAAGTTCGTGTGACAGAGGAAAAGAGAAGCCCTCCAAGTGCTCGATGAAAAGTGGAGTTCATGTTTGTGCATTAAATGCTCATATGATCCGTGATTCAAAAAGTGGACTGGTCAGCGCCTAGGCAGCCGCCTAGGAGCTCCAGAAGGCCTAGGCAATGCCAATCTGGGCGGCAGTCCTTGGGCTGCTGCCTAGGCGATATGGAACCCGCCTAAGAGGGCGCCCAGCGCCCAGCGCCCAGCCCAGACCGACCGTCCAGGGCCTGTGCCCCGCCTAGACGGTACGAAACCCACCTAGGCAGGCGCCCCACCAAAAGGCGGGAATTTTTTTTTTTGATATTAATTTTGTTTTTAAATATAAAGGGTTAGAAGGATGATTTTAAGTTCATTTGAAACCTAAAACTTATTGAAGCCTATTTTAGAGAGAAAAAGCCTCCAAAAAACTAGTTTTTGGTGATTTCTTTAGGATGGAAGGGTTTCTCAAAGTTGACAAAAATTGATCAAAACATCACTCATTGATATTAAATATAATTTTTGATGTTTTATAAATCTATTGGGGGGTTTTTAGAAGATTTTAAGTTCTTAGAAGCATCTTTGAGGTGGAAGTTTGAAGATTGAGCAATCAAACTCAAAGTAAGTGCTCTAAATACCTAATTTTTATTTTTTACACTAAATGTCATTTTTTTATTCAAATGGGCATCCTTTTTGGATTCGAATGTGCTGGGCGACCTGGACCCCCCAAGCCGCCTAGGACCCGCCAAGCGGTTTTTGAAACACTGCATATGATGCATTAAATTATTGGAATACTTGTTAAGTGTAAAGAGAGAGAGGGAGTTACACGTAGAGAGAGAAAAGAGCAAGGTGAGATTGGGATGAGCTGTCCTATTTGAACCATTCAATGAGTAGTCGTCTCCATCTTAAACATAAGCTCATGCTCCAATTACCCTACTCTTATTAACCATTGAATTATTAAAAGATGAGTCGCCCCTTCACTTTTCCTCTCTTTAAAAACCTCTTTTTTTCCTCTCATTGTTTCTTTTCATTTTTTTCCAAGGAGACTGCCTAGGAGAGGCGCTTAGGTAGGCACCTAGTTACATGCATATGCGCCCGCCCCGGCCCATGAGGTTTGACTGGTCAAATGGACCGCATGGGCAGGCGACCGAATTTTTGTTCATTGAATGCAAGAGACTATTTTGGGATTGAGAGTTGGACCATGTGAAATCAGAGACATTGGTCCAAGAGAATCTCGATGATGATTTTTCCGACTTTCAAAAGTATAAGAAATGTTTCTTGAAAGTTCCTTATGTCTTTGAAATTTGAATTTAAATACAAGTAATTCTCAAATATGTAACCCCACCTAGATGTTGAGAAGTTGGTTGCAGATGGAAGGGCTAAAGAGATTAGTTCATCTATGACAAACACATCAGATACCATACACCATCGTGACTCATATCATATTTCCCAATTTTTGGAGCACATACAAGATGCTCGGTATCCTATTCAGAAAGCAGACACCTTGAAGAAGCTATAAATGCTGAAATAAAGGTTCTTAACATAAATCGTGACTCTAAAGCACACCCAATAGGAGATAAAATGAGACATTGTCCACCATACATGAGGATTTAACAATAGGCAAGTCCAGAAGTTAATATGTTTTAAACAAGTATTGATAATGGACTCTGTAGAGTTGCTTTTATAATATAAATGATTGATACCACATGAATACCTTGTTGTGAGATCTATCGCATGCCACAACTTCACCCATATCCTTCATCAAGATTGCAATTGCTGTTGTTTTACCACCGGGAGCGGCACACATATCCAATATAAGTTCTCCTTCTTGAGGATCTGGAACAGAAGACAATTAAAAACCCAAACGTCGATATTGACAGCTAGAGGCGAGCAAAAAAAACTTTTGAAACAAATGAATTTCAAATAAAGCAATATTTGGGGAACTTCTCAAGAGGGTATAATGAAGGAAAGTACTTCTACTAAAGGAAGACAGACTAAAGAAAACCAAACTAACAGCCATGCAGAACTTCTAGCAGTCAATATCTAAGAAGCACTATTAACAAATAGAATCCACTCCAAGTGTCTGTTCAAATTAATAGAACAACAAAATTAGTTTACCAGCCCATTTGACACGAGCATGTATGGAATGAACTTGGAAAATCAGGTCACCCACCAACGTCTTAGTCAATGACTCGCCCTCCTCTTCCCCCACACCGTCCCAAATGTTAAAACAACATCTACAATCTCTACCCCAAAACCCTCCCGTCCTCTCCATTTCTCCCTCCTCCACTCAGATCCTCGCTTTCTACCACCCACCTCCCCTCTCATCCTTCTCATAAGCCCTCCTTCTCTCAGGTAGTAGCCTCCACTAAGTCGGTTACTGTCCCCCGCAACCCCCCTCTGCTACAGCAACGGCAATGGAAACCTCGTCCTGCCGAAAGGTCTCCTTTTCTCCCTTTCTGCATCTCCATCTCTCCCGAAGAGACTACGTATTCAAAGCCCAAGCTCCTCGCGTCTCTAATCGGTTCTTTCCAGCCTGTGCACCATAATATTAGAGGGATTGAAAGGGCCGCACAAAAACACTAGGGAGAACCCAACATTACCTGCAGTGGCCTAGCAAAATGTGATATCCTCTTCTCCTTCCCCTCTTTGAATAGTGCCCAACTCGCTCTGAAGGATTCCAATACCTTCACCTTCCATGGGGCCCAATGCCTCCTTTGGGCCTGGTCGCCCACTGAGGGGTCAATCAAGAAACAAAGGGTGTGAATAACTTTCAACCGCATCCCTCTCCTAACGTGAAGCCCTGAAACTTTCCGACGTCTAGCAAGTGCTTGTGGTTCTCTCATCTCGATCCACTGGATTTTGATTGAAACCCTTCCCCTGAGTTCAATACGAGTCCTTGTGGAAGTCTTGGACCCCAGTCTTATCCCCAAAACCTTGCGGATTGAAGTAGACGGCCTCTACTTTCCAATCTCGACTTCTTGGCCTCAGGCCTCCCCTCCCTCCCCGTACTTCCTTCACCAAGCCTCCCCCGCTAAATTCCAGGACGAAGAGTCTGCTTCTTGGACTCTGGTCTCTAAGGCGACGACAGCCTCCAGATCCATCTGCCACCAACATCCGCCACTATGACCTCCAGCCCCATCCGTTGTCGGCCCCGCCGTTTCCTCCTGTCATGCCTAGTGATGTCACTGGCCCGTCCGCTGTTGCTTCTCCTCCTCTTCCCCGTCGACCCAGAAAGGACGCCCGGAGTGAACTGCTTCCTCTCTCTCTCCCTTCAGGCCCACCAAAGGACCCGGGCCTATCCTTCTCGAAATTACCCCTCTCACGTGTCGTCAACCTCTGTACACTTATCGCCTCCCTCCCCCTCCCCGGTTCACGTGTCGCCTACGGCTCTAACCCACCCACCGACACTGCATGATGACATCTGCACGGAGCCGACTTTTGCAGCCCACCTGTCCCCCACGCCTTTTCCTCTCCCTCTTCGGTCACCTGTCGCCGACTTCTCCTCCCTCGGCTGCTGCTCCTTGCCACTCGTCCTCCTTATGCAACCCCGCAGCCCATCAGTCACTAGAGCCGCCTTCTCCATCCCCCCCTCTGGCGATATGTCCTCCCCTTCTTCCCTCTCTTCCTTCGCTCCCCCACCTACCCCTTCTCTGTTTTCTGGCCCCTTCAACTTGGAACCCGAAGACTCCTGCCACCTTGTCCCCCTACTTGAGCCAGCAGAGAAGTGCTCTGCGCCGCCTCTGCCTTCCCCTTCTCCTTCCCCCCTGGTTCCGCCACCCTTCCTCCCTCCGCTCTCCATTACCTACCACCCTTTTAGCCTCTTTGACATCCTCGCACCTTCTCTTAGCCCTGTGGAGCCTTCTGACCTTCTACACCTCCTCTTTATGGACAAATCCTCCTCTCCCAAGGCATTGTTACCACCCAGACCTGGGACCTCTACCCCCGGATACTAACTTTATCTCCTCTATGTTGGCTCCCTATCTTTCCTACACCTCTCACCTGGTTAGCTTCACCAGGGTTAACTCTCTCCATTTTACCTGGCCCTCTTCCCAACCTGCTCTTGTCCCTACCCTCTCCTCTGTTCAGACTTTTCACTACCTTACCTATTTCCCCTCTTCCCTTTCGTCTCCCCCCTTACTTCAGCACCTAGTGAACCCCCAAGCCCACAGTTGGCCCTTTTACCCCTGTTCCCCATACCTAGAGCCCACCTATTCTCTGGATCTGTCTCCAGTTGCCCAACCACCTCCCCACCCTCCCTCCAGTCGGGAACCTCCATCTTCCACCCCTATTCCTGTGCCTGAGCCTCTCTCTGTGCCTGAGTCACCTCCTGAGCCCCTCCCCCCTTTACCCTCTAATCTCTACCCCCCTATCAGCCCTGAAGTGCAAATGTCTCCAGGTGAAGATCTTCCAAAAGGACTTAGTCAGCATAGCCCCCCCCCTCCCCCTCACCCCCCCTCCGCCCTGGGGAGGGGAAGGCAGACAGAGAAAGAGACATTAACATTGACAAAAAAATGAAGGAAATGTATCGAATCATGGGCTTCCACCAGGACGGATCAGAAGGATCGGCTCACAAGTTCCTTACCGCAGATGCGCAAAGCAGGATCAAGGTAAGACCAAAAGGAAAAAGAGAACTACTCAGTCTTTTCTCTTCTCCCTCTTTCCAGGACAAGCCTATCCGGTACACCCCTTATGTCCCCCTTATTTTTTTCCCCATGAGGTCTTCCAGGTTGGCCTCCTCCCCCCTTCCCCTTGTTATTCCATGAAGATTGTCACATGGAATATTAGGGGACTGGGTCAACAGTCCAAAAAGAACGTTGTCAAAGACCTTTCTCTCAAACACTCCCCCACTCCCCTAGCCCTCATCAAAACCAAACAACCAGAGCCTACTTTGCAGCTCATCCGCCAAATTTGGGGCAAAAAGCCTACCCAGTGGGTCGCTCTACCGGCTAATGGAGCTTCAGGAGGTATCTGGGTCATCTGGAATCCGTCGGAACACACCCTAATCTCCTCACATTTAGGGAATTACTCTATGACCATTCTCCTATCTAGCATCCCTGATGGTTCTCAATGGAAATTCACGGCAGTCTATAGGCCTAACTCATCCTCGCTCAGACACATGGTCTGACCTGGATCATGTTGCAGCTCTCCCACACCCTTCGCGGTGTTTGGGAGGAGACTTCAACGTTACAAGATGGTCCTATGAGCGAAACTCCTCTACCTCCATATCCCAGGACATGAGGAACTTCGCTGATTTCATAACCAGCAATGAACTCATCGATATTCCTCTTCAAGGCAGCCGTTTCACTTGGTCAAACCATTCTCCTAATCCCTCCCTTTCTAAACTGAACCGATTTCCCTTCTTTACTAACTGGGAGGAATCTTTCTCGGGATCCCTCGCTTTGGTCTTACCCAAACCTACTTCTGACCACTGTCCCATTCTTCTGGATACCAACGTTGTACACAGAGGGCCTACACCCTTCAAGTTTGAACTAGCTTGGCTAGAAGAGGCGTCCTTTCTTACTCTGATACCTACCTGGTGGGCTTCCTTCTCACCTCAGGTTAGGGGTAGAGTAGGTTACAGCCTTCAGACTAAAATTCAGCTCCTCAAAGCCTCTCTCAATACCTGGAGTAAAGCTCTACCTGGCAATTACTCCCAAACCAAATCACTCCTTCTGGACACTATCCAACGTTTAGACCACTTAGAAGAATCCAAAGCCCTGACACCTTGGAACTTAACCTCAGAACCCAAACCAAACTTGACTACCTGTCCACCCTCAAGAAAGAAGAGATCTACTGGTTCCAAAGATCAAGAGTAAAGTGATTAAAAGTGGGAGACCTAAACACAACGTTTTCCACCCGTATAGCTAATTGTCGTAGAAGGGACAACACCATCTCGGCGCTCGAAGTTAACAACTTTTTGGCCCAACCAGCACAAATTAAACAGGCCATTATAGAGTTCTTTCGAACTCTATACACCGCCAATGCTGACCCGAGGCCAACAATGGCTGACCTTGACTTCTTGCTCTTCCCTAAGGACTTAGCTGCTTGGATAGAGCAACCTTTCACTGAGGTTGAAATCTTACAAGCAAACAAAGCCCTCACCATAGATAACGCCCCAAACCCAGATGGATTCCCGATCGCACCCTTCAACACCTTCTGGAGCACTTTTCATTCTGACTTCTTGGATTTCTTCGAGGAATTCTTCCAAAGGAAATCATCCATAAAGCCATTCATGCCACCTTCATTGCCCTGATACTCAAAGTCAAAGGGACAGAGGAAATCAAGGACTTTCGACCTATTAGCCTCCTGAATTCGACCTACAAAATTCTAACTAAGGTCCTTGCCTCTAGACTTCAACTAGTCCTCCCTACAGTGATCTCTCCTTCTCAATCTGCTTTCATACAAGATAGACAGATTCTGAATGGGGTCCTAGTGGCCAATGAGTGCCTCCACTCAAGGCATTTAGCTAAGAAACCAGGATTAATCTTTAAAATAGACTGGGAGAAGGCATATCACCATGCCAGAAAAGGACTTAAGGTCAAATTTTGGACAGATCTTTGGCTGGGCAAATCTCCTCTATGCAAGGCTTTCCCACCTTTCGGGAGAGATACTATTGTTTGGAGCCTCTCCCCCTCAGGCCTCTTTACAGTAACTACTTTCTACAAAAGTCTTACCCAGCCCCAACTCTTCCTCTCAAGCTCAGCTCTATCTTGTCAAAAGTCTGGTCCACCATCGCCCCACCTAAGATTCAGTTCTTTAATTGGATTGCCTGCTCTCAAAGAGCTCTCACAGTAGACCAATTACAAAAAAGAGGCTTGTGCTTACACAAAGCCCAAGACTACGGGTTTTAGACATTACCTATGAGCCAAAGCCAATCAAAGCTCAGAGGAGTCATGGCACTAACAGTGCCTCATATTCCAAAGTGGACCACACTCCCACTGGAGACAACATCTCACTATAATGTTTTAGTACATGCTCACAGAAAGCCTTTAAATGGCCACAAAACCCCAACACAAGATTATTCTTATTTTTTATTTTTATTTAATTTCAACATATATATTTTTTAGTTTTAGTTTTAAGATTTTAAAGTCTTCTAGGGACTCTAGGTTTTTTTTATAAATTTTATTTATTGTTCACAAGTACTATTCATGTTACTATTCACGGGTCACATTATTGTTCACAAGGGTAATTTTGGAAGTTTAATATTGTTTAAGGGTAGTTTAGAGTCTTAAATATTTACTTGGATCTCAAGTTAATTTTAAGCATTTCATAGGTTTATAAAAAGTTGGATCAGTGTTTCAAAAAGCGTTAGGCGGTAGGGGAGTCCAGGCCACCCAGTGCCTAGGCGGGGCCTAGAACCCGAGCGGCCCAGTAGAAATATTTTTTTTTTTTGGGTTCTCTCTCTCTGAAATAGGCTCCAATGGTTTTAGGTTTCAAATGAACCTAAAACCCACAATTTTGCCTCTTTAGTATTTAAAAAATGACCCAAAAATACCCTCAAGGAACTGCAGTTCCGCCCCTGGGTGGGGCGCAGGCCCTGGGCGGCCGCCTAGGCGGGTTCAGACGGGAGCCCAAGCACTGGGCGGTGCGCTTTTTGAAACAATGGGTTGGATATCAAATTTTGGGAGGTATATGTTATTAGAATGAATTTTATTTTATGAAAGAAAAAAGTTCTTCTCTTGGCTTCATTTACAGCCATGTTCTTTTTGCATTTTTGTAGATTTTACTTGTTTAAGGTTTAGGAAACTAATGGATTTAATTTTCCACCTTTCCTTTTTGCATCAGGTATTAAGTAGGTAAAGTGAATCCTATGGGCATACAAAGCCCCACAATATGTCTAATACTTGCAGTCACAAACAGTAAAACATGATCTCAAAAACTAAAGTTACAAAACATGGCCTTACATATTAAATAAATGATAAAGCATGTAAATGCAAGTCATATGTAATCTCCCCATCCATCATCAACTTCATTACTACCATCTTCATCATCAGCATTGCGATCTCATTTATTTTAACACACTCGATCCCCATCTCCACCACCTATGAGATAGATTTTATACTACTAACAAACCATAGCATATGCACACTTGCATAATAGCCTAGCAAGCTAGAATCAAGCACAATATAAAACAAAACAAGCACTTAAAATTTCCTTAAGGTGATTATATTTCCATCCAATTATCTAAAATATCTTCAATGCACTCAAGGATGGGCTGCTCTTTCTCGATGATTCATTCTTTAATGCAAATCTTCTCTAGATCAATGGGTTATAAGCATGTGCGCAATTGAATGTCCTACATTTTACATTATTTCACAAGCACAGAACTTTTATGAATAATACAATTATATGAATAATACAATTATACCACAACTAAAACAATAGCCTATTACTCTAATTGGTAATCATCTCGTTATTAACTTCGCTTTAATCCATTTTGCACGAAAACCACGTCATCAAGCCGCTTATGCCCCATCTGCTTCAACTATCTAAATGGATGTGTTGAGACATGCTCCAATTCCTCTCACAACTACTTGTGCTACAAGTTTGCAGAGGATACGAATGCTGAACTTTCGAAGATTAGGAGCCTCCTCCCCATACAATTGATTAACAAAGAAATCAACATGGGAAACTTTAATTTGTATAATAGTTTAAGTTATTGACACTATATGATAAAACTATAAATCAAACAAATGAAACAAGGGAACTTAGAACATCGAAGTGCAATAAATTCAATCACCTAGGAGGACATATCATCAGTGTTTACTGCCACCATTCACCCAAAATCTCATTGAGCCTTCAAATACAAACTCATCTCCTCGTCAGTCCTCACTCGCATATGCCGATCAAGATATAACATCTCAATCATGAATTGATACCCATTAGACATCTTTGGATAGGCAGAATTTTTTGACTCATTGTAGAAAACATTAGGGTTAAGCTAGTAAGCAATATCATTCATTGAGTGATGCAACTATATATACCATCTCTAATTAATAATCCACAAAAATTTCTTGTATATGGACTACTTAAAAGTTGCACCAAAGGCCTCCTTTGCCCTATCCATTGGTTCATAAATATAACTCATACCAACTTACTATCATAGTCTACAATACTCAAGATATTCACCAAAGACTTTGCAACTTTAATTAAATTGGCAACTGTTGACCAAAATTGACTATTCAATATCAACTCCATCATTGTCTTCCCACAACTGTTTCTTGTCCACACAGAAGACAAGCTACTGCATTGACCATAGCTCTCAAGCTATCCTTCTACTACAATATGCTCTGCAAGGTAAGGAAACTGGTTGCAAACCTAGTAATTGCAGGTCTCACAAACTTTCTTCCATTTGTGTGCTCCCGCATTAGATTGAGGACAGAGGAATTATTTTGTAATTATTTTAGCCCTACCTTGACATCCAGGTGGAAGTTTACCCAACTTGCAGGTTTTTCCAAAGCATACTGATGATATGGGTGAAAGATGTCTGTGTTGGATGACCCTCAAGAGAGAATGATGGGAGTATAGAGGATTAGTCACTATGATAGCATTCGTATAATAAAGCAGTGATATGGAACCAGACCAGACTGGCCACACCTGGAACCAGGGGCCCCACTAGCTGGACCAAGGGTCTAGAACATGATGAGGACATCAAATTAGCTAAGTTGGGTCAATGGAAAGGGGGCTAGAGTGAGATATTATATGCCTCTTTACCATGTGCTTCTGGCATTTGTTCGAATTATTCTTTTAATGAAATTCCAGTACAAACACATTTAAATGAGAAGGAAAAACATATTTTATTTCAAAAAAGTTTCATATTTTCATATCACTTCTCAATGACTAATCCTGGTTCCTTCGTGTATTGTGGTTAACCAAATAAAAATTGCTGCAGACACCTCTCTATAGTAAGTAATCAAGTTAAAGATTTCAGCAAGAAGAAGAACCTGTTTGTACTCTGTAAAAGGAAAACGGACACAACAATATGCATGTCACATGGAATTTATTAAATGAACATAGAAGGGACAGCAAGACTTTCCCTTGGCAATGTTCAACTGCCTCTCAACGTGAACATTGAGGCAACTAGAAAAGAATCCTTTATTCGGTTATTACTAGCTCTAAGACCTTTCCACTAGGTTCTACCACATTATACCAGGAGTCAATGTCATTTCCATGACAAGAAGGGTGTTCTGCATTTCTGTAAACTTGATCAAGAAAGCTTGTGATAATGATACACACTTTGTGATACCATTTGTGATATCATTTGCTACCTTTCAATAGTAAAAATATGCAATGTGATAGAAAGAAAACAAAAAAAAACAATGGAATATTTATGCAGAGGGAGATTCAGAGTGTTGAATTTCTAAGTTCTTTAAAGAAAGGGAAGTGATCCTCAACATGGAAAAGCTAAGGCCCTCAAGCAGTAAGATCTTAAGCTGAAAATTCTTAAATTTCATTATGAAGTACCAACTTAAATCTCCATTAAACATCTGCCATATGCCAGGCATCAAGATGTAAAAGTCAACATTAAGTGAGACACAATACATACCAAGGACATGGGCAGTAATAATGCTTGGCAAGTTCTGAAGAAAAATTTCCCCTTTCAAGATGCCTGGAGATGAAACAGAATAGTGAATTCTATGAGATAAATAATAGAAAAAAGGAAGTAGTAAATACAAACAAATCATATACCTATTTAACCAAAACGCTTGAACAAAAAAGGCATCCTATTTTATGTCATTCTAGACTTATGATTGTATCATATGCCAAGAAATTCCAAAGCAATGATGTTCGAACATTTTTTGAAGACCGTCAAGCATCCTTCATTCAAATAAATGTTGGGGCTTGTGGCTTTTAAAGCCCATGAGAGCATGTAAATAAGAATTATAGTGGATTGTACACTTCAATGGGAGTGTATGTGTTAGCTAACTGTGAAGGGAGTGGCTATGTGGAACTCAAGATATTAAATTAAAAAAAAAATCTTTTTCTTTTAATCAATAGACATAAATTCCACTTACATTGACCACTAAATATTGCTGTAAATAAAAAATAATACCCTAGATACAACCTAGGATCTTTACTTTCACTGCCAAAAAAAATAGAAATTATCCAGGAGCTTTAAACAAACTTCCACCTATAATTTTAAGTACAGTTCTTGAAAATTCACAGAAAATAAGAAATAATACTGAAAATTAATTAAAAATACTGGCAAAACTTACTGAAAGATGTCTGGATTTACTCTCACAGGCCTTGGTACACCACACACTCGATTCCTTAACCAATGGCACACTTTTACTCCTTTAGCTGTTGCTGAAAATTCTTAAATAGATAAGCTTTGTAGGAAACACTTCGTTTCTTAGGGTTTTAGAGAGTTCAAAAATCAACTAGGATTTATAAAAACCTCATATGAACAAACTAGTGTTGAGCTTGTGAGTTGATCTCTGTCTAGAATAGTTGTCACCCTTCTTTTCTTCAAAATACAGCACGCTTCACATATAGTCTTGAAAGTCCCATATTTCCTCTTTTTATTTTCTTTTGATAGAACCAGTGTTCGCAAAATCGAACCGGAATGGTTAACCGGTCATGAGCCTAGGAGCGGTTCAAACCAGAACCGGACTAACCGGGGCTGTTAACCTGACTAACCGGTCAAGTAGATTTTTTTTAAAAAAAAAATGGGTCAAAAACCCCTAAAATATTTTAAAAAATAAAAAAATAGAAAAAACTTAGATTAGACTATATATAAGTCATTATTAAAAGCAATTCAACAAGCTCACCAAAAATATATAACATTTACAAGAAAGAAATATTTTTTTCTCATATTCATAAAAAAAACAACTTTTTGTAAAAAAAAGATATAACATTAAAAAAAATCAAACAAGCTCACCAAAAATATATAACATTAAAACGAAATTTTTTTCCCATATTTATAAAAAAACATATTTTGTAATAT